GTGGGGCTCTTCGAGGACACCAACCTCTGCGCCATCCACGCCAAGCGAGTCACCATCATGCCCAAGGACATCCAGCTGGCCCGGCGCATCCGCGGAGAGCGGGCGTAAAAAAAAAGGACTCGAGAGAACGCCGCTCCGTTTCAGAAACCCAAAGGCTCTTTTAAGAGCCACCAAATTCTCTTCCGAAAGCGCTGATCACGCCCAATCTATTTGAGTCGAATATCCGAGATAACACCGAATATATACTAGCAGATAGCCAGTAATTTTGGTTACTCGATTTAGTGTTGGCATCTGCTTCCACCCATTTAAAAATTGGATATTGAAGCCGATTATTTGACATGGGTTTAACTAAATTTGGCCAATTAAGTGTAAAACATGGGTTAGCAATATCAATTAAACATTTCAACTAGATCGGAACCCGATGAAATATAAATGTTAAAAGTATCTGGCTTCCCCAAAGGATATTAAAATGTTTTCCCCTCCCCGCAGGTTGAGCATTAGCTGTGTTATTACCGGGATTATTAACAATTTAAGTGTGGAAGCCACGTTTTCCTTTTAGCCCAAATCCCACTTTTTAATAAATATGCAAAAGCGGCCTTTTCTAGCAACTAAAAACGATTCCGAAAGGCCTCACTCGCCTGCAACTTGGAAGAGAAAACGCAGCTTGGGAGGAGGAACGTAACCCATAAATTAGCCACTTGTGGGCTATATATTGCCTTAATGCGATTAAAAGTTTATTACTCAACTCCTGTTCTTGTTGGATTCGCTTGTTTTCTGACGTTGGACAAATTGTAAAAATACTCGGCGCTCTCTAAATGTTATTTATGCGCCATTTTTTAAAACAAAGCAGCCAACATTTCCTATTTTCCATATATCGATCCTGTTGAGGTAAGTTTTGGCCCTAAATGATTGAAAGTCACCCAGATTTTGCTCAATGTTAACATTTATCTAATTACTTTTTGCTTTGACTGAATTACAAGAGGTTAAAATGGCGGCCGCAGCACTCTCCCTCCCTTTCCCAACAACAGCCCTGCGAGGTAGTCCTTTCCGTTGTTTTGAGTGGAAAACAGCCTTTTAACAATTTTTGTGGGTGGCTCTTAAAAGAGCCTTTGGGGGTTTTTTGCAAGCAACGAGGACTCGCACCTGGAGCCGCCCGAGAGCAGCTTACTTCTTCGCCACGCCTTTCTTGGGCTTCGCCACTTTGGCTTTGGGAGTCTTGGGTTTCGCTTTCGGCTTCGCCGCCCTGGCTTTGGCGGGGCTTTTGACCGCTTTCTTCGCTTTAGCCGCCGCTGCTTTGGGCTTCTTGACCGCCTTGGGGGATTTCTTCACCGCCTTCTTGGCGGGTTTCTTCGCCCCGGCGGCCACCGGAGCTTTTTTCGCCTTCTTGGCGGCGGCGCTGGTGGGCTTCTTGGCGCTCTTGGCTGCCGTCGGCTGCTGCTTCTTGCGGGCCGCCTTGTCCTTGGGCTCGGCCTGCTTCTTGTTGAGCTTGAAGGAGCCCGAGGCTCCCGTGCCTTTCGTCTGCAGCAGCGTCCCCTTGGTCACCAGGCTCTTCAGGCCCAGCTTGATGCGGCTGTTGTTCTTCTCCACGTCGTAGCCCGACGCCGCCAGGGACTTCTTCAGCGCGGCCAAGGAGATGCCGCCGCGCTCCTTGGAGGCCGTCACCGCCTGCATCAGCAGCTCCGTCACGCTGGGGCCGGCCGGCTTCCGCGCCTTCGCAACGCCCGCCGCTCTCCTCGCCGCCGCCTTCGAAGCCGGAGCCGCCGCTACGGGCGCTGCAGGCGCGACTTCTGCCATCCTTCTAACGGGGTACCTGGCTCCTCCGACGCGGACCCTTAAATTGCCCGGAGGCGCGGCGAGCGCTGGTATTTATAGGAGAGGAGCTGAGCGCTGATTGGTCCGTTGCCAGCACGGCGATTCGCTGGTCCCAAATCATCTCCTTCACCGTTGCGGGTTTTTTGTGTTTCTCAGTCGGCCTAAAACAGCCGATTAATCGAAACCCCTCGGGCGGATCCTTTCCCTTCCTGGGGGGATCGAGAGGGGAAGGTGTCTTCTTTCGGGATCCCCACTTTCCTTAGCTGGAGCAGCCTAGAAACGGCGGGTAGAAAGCGGGGAGCACGGCTTCTCCCGGCTTCTTCTGCCTTGACACGTGTACACTGACGCCTTTGTCTGAAGATGCTGAAGGAGTCTCTTGGGAAACCCCCGTGTAAACCCTTGGAAACAGGCACCCTGGAGGGTCTGTATCTTGACCCGCACGCCAGGCAAGGATCTCGGGGGATGAATTCCCCGCAATCGCTTCTTTAATCCAGCCAAGTAACACATCGAACAGCCGACGGGGATGAGACGTTCATTTTATGTGGGGGGCTTGAAAATCACAAACGCAAAAAAAAAAGTTGGGGAATTGGGTTGTCATTAAACAGGACGGGGACAAGTGAAGAGTGAAAAATGTAGGGGTGGTGGTGGTTTGTTTGTTTTTTAAAGCAAGTCTGTTTTATGCTTTTTTTTTCTGGAACTCAGTCACCTGTAATAATCCACAATCATAATATCACTTCAAAGCCGGTGTTACATATTTGGGAACAGCAAAGAAAGGGAAAAAGAAAAGGATATATAATTGTGAAAAAGAGACCTGGCTAAACGCCCTTTGCACTACTCACTGGATTAGGAACAGGAATGGAATATAGAACAGAATAGACTATAGAATAGAATATAGAGAATAGAAAATAGAATAGAAAAGAATGGAGTAGAATGGAATAGGAATAGAATAAAATGGAATATAAAACAGAATAGACTATAGAATTGAATATAGAATAAAATACATATAGAGAATAGAAATAATAGAATAGAATATGGAATGGAATTAGAATGGAATGGAATAAAATGGAATATAGAACAGAATAAAATAGAGAATAGAATAGAAATTAGAATAGAAAAGAATAGAGAGGAATGGAGTATAGAACAGAATAGACTATAGAATAGAATAGAATATAGAGAATAGAAAATAGAATAGAAAAGAATGGAGTAGAATGGAATTGGAAGAGAATAAAATGGAATATAAAACAGAATAGACTATAGAATTGAATATAGAATAAAATACAGACTATATAGAGAATAGAAATAATAGAATAGAATATGGAATGAAATTAGAATGGAATGGAATAAAATGGAATATAGAACAGAATAAAATAGAGAATAGAATAGAGAATAGAAATTAGAACAGAATACACTATAGAATAGAATACAGAGAATAGAAAATAGAATAGAAAAGAATAGAGTAGAATGGAATTGGAAGAGAATAAAATGGAATATAAAACAGAATAGACTATAGAATTGAATATAGAGAATAGAAATTAGAATAGAAAAGAATAGAGAGTGGAATGGAATACAGAATAGAATATAGAGAATAGAAATTAGAATAGAAAGGAAAAGAATAGAATAGAAAAGAATAGAGAGTGGAATGGAATATAAAACAGAATAGAGTATAGAATTGAATATAGAA